AGAGTGACTGAAAAATATAAACCTGAGTCAAATCTGACTTGAGTCCCTGGTGCAACTTAAGTCCAACTTGACGGCAAGTCCGATGACTTGAGCCCCCATCCCTGTTGTTAGGATGGTCAAGCAACAGATTCCGAAGTGGCTTTGAAAGGCAGAAAATGGACAATTGTCAAGGTGATCATTTCATTGTTACCACTGCCTTTTAATTTTCATCCTCAGGTACCAAAGTGTCTCAAACCAATTACAGTGTTGCCTTGTTAGACAGTTGCCCGCATGACAGTTTTTTCGCTAGACATTGACTTTTTGCGATCGTTATAGCTATTCGCGAAACTGTGATTCCTATGGGGGAATTTCGCTGGACAGTGTTTGGTTCCTGCTTCGCAAACCGATTTCCGCTAGACAACAATTTTGGCAGCTTCCTCCGCGCTCGCAAAACAGGTGTTTTCAGGACCTAAGCTTCGCAAGACAGCGATTTAAACAGCTGATCGGCAGTTCGCAAAGCAGCTTTCCTATGGCCGATCTTCGCTAGACAGCGATGATTCTTCCCCATTTTGACAGGTTTCAATGCATTTCAGTGGGGAAATGCTTTTCGGTAGACAATGATTTCGCTAAACAGCAATTTCAGTGGAACGGATTATCGTCTAGCGGGGCACCACTGTATGTTTAAATGTGTCTCTAAGTCAGAGATGGACAACAATTTGGGGCCAAAAACTCGTATCAGCACCAGCCTGCATACCAAGGATGATGGAGCTGACCCTGTTAAAAATAGCTGGCCTTTGCCCCCTTTCGAGGAACTCTTGTTATGCACTGTGGTATTAGATAGGAAATACTCAGCATGACACATGGATATATGTATTCTATAGAACAGTGGTCCCCAACCTTGGGCCTCCAGATGTTCTTGGACTACAACTCCCAGAAGCCTTCAGCACCACCTCTGCTAGTCAGGATTTCTGGGAGTTGAAGTCCAAGAACATCTGGAGGCCCAAGGTTGGGGACCACTGCTATAGAACATGTTATAAGAAACTTACAAATCTGAGGGTGATGTCTAGAGTATTAGAAATGTGGGTAACTGTGTCCCCTCGCTGCATTTGTTCGTGAGATTCTGACAAGGTAGAAACTAGTCTATGAAAATATGTGCCTTAACAAATCTGTTGGGATTTGGAGCTATATTTAATCATACAGCAGCCCTAATGAAAGTTAATCATGCCCAAATGGGAAGAGCAGACAAAGATCTTTTTAGTCAGTCAGGCCGTTAGCATCTAAACAAATTTTAATTAAAAGGGACCCTTGTTTCTTTTTATTGGCCTGTTTTTGATTTCAGTTTTGTTTTATTGGTCTGCTTTTAATTTCATTTTTAGCCTCTTGTGTTCTGATGGATTTGTTTCTCACAATGGACTGTATTTTTGTGAGCCACTTTGAGTGGCATTTTTCAAGCAGAATGGCAGGATATAAATGCAATTAATTAATAAATAACGTGCATTCCCTTGATTTCTAGGTACACCCTTCTCATTGCGACATGTGGATCCGACCCAATGCCTTTATGGTGCTGTAGGACGATTGTGGTGTTTCTGTATGGTAACTCTCCTCTGGAGTCAAGTCAAAAAGAGTCTATAAATATGAAGGAAAACAATGGAATTTCACAGCTTCTTCTCATTGTGGTATGAACTTCATAGCTTGGGAGAGAGAAGGAATTTTGGAATGTTTGAACAAAGAATACAATAAGAACAATGAAAAATCACAGCCCTTATGTTAGAATGATGAATTGTAACAGACCAGTGGCTTCTCAGAATTTTTTTTTCATTTCCATAAAAAAAACGATATAAATCCACAAGGCAGCAAATCACTGCAGCTCTCCTAGAACTTCAAGAGATCAAGCAGTATCTTTTCACCAGGTGCTAGGAAGTCCTCTCTGGCTATTTCCAGACATAAACTGCATCTAGAAATACTGGCCTGCAGCCTGACAACCCTAATAGTCTTGTGATTTAATAAACACATATCAAAATTGTTCCTTAGCATATCCTCAAAGAGTGAGGGAAGGACGCTTTGTTCTTGTTACACAAGGTCTATGCAATGTCACTGACCTACCATAGATGGAGTGCAGTTTATTGTATTACCATACTTTTTGCAGCAATTCCATCTGTAAATGAAATACACGCATGTCTCAGAGAGCAATTCATGTCAGGGGCACAGAGCCAGCCTTTCATATTAGATAGGCCCATTGGGAGCCTCATGAACATATAATTTAATTTACTGTAGGGCATGAATTCTGCGGAAGCCTCATGTTTCACACTCAACTTGAGTCAACCGACTCAGTACAGTATATCTTTTTCAGCGCCATGTACTGTGTAAGGGTAACTGTTTCTGTTGCTCTCCTGTCAGAAAACAAAAAGGGCAAGATGTGTGTCTGAATGTGGTTGGCAGCTTATGGTACAATCAGAGAGGGTATCTCACCTCCACGTTTAATGTATGATGCCCTCTAGCTTGGCTTGTAAGTCACCTATAGGGTATGGTGACCATCAGTCAACAGCACAGTGTATGAACATAGTATCTACAATGTACCAATATAAAAGCAATTCATTTTCTTCTTGCTTTGAGAAATGCTCTGAATATTTTTAATTGCAGCTGGGATCTTGGCTGGCAGCCAAAATAAGGAGGAATTATTGTAAACACACACCCCTTTTCAAAGTCCTTTGGAGATAAATGTTGTTAGCAAGTACAATCAGTATCAGAGACCCTTCAAACTGTGAGCCACTGATTTATGGTCTTGAAGAAAGATGGCCAGGAGATGGTGCCTATACCTTTACCGTGACATACCAAGAATGGTTGCTGCTATTGCGACTCCTGAACTATTCCTCCCACTGTTGAAAGAGGGGGTGACAATTATAAATATGTGTGTCAGAACGTTTACAAACGGAAACAATGGGCTGAAGGGTGGGCCCCACTTAGTGACTGTATTTGGAAGCCCCACTGAAATTAATCGTGATTCGTTTCAAAGTTAATTTAGACCAGGGGCTACTTTTCCAAGTCGAAGTAAGATCAGCATACTCTAGTGCATTTTTTTAAAATAAATAATATGGGTGGGGGTAACATTGAGTAAGCAAAGGGGACAGTGTTAGAATGGACTTTGTCTGGAACAATGTATTGTCATGAACTATCCTGTTGTAATAATGCCAAGGTCTGCTAGGGCAACTTGTGCTCAGATAGCAATTAGGAGCCATTAGCTTTACACAAAATCCACCTTGAAGGGAATGAACAGTGCTAAATCTGACTGAGATGCCAGGCCAGTTTGCCACAGTCCAGCACAACTATTGCTCTCTGAATGTTGATTGACCTCCCTTCCCCGGGTGATTCTGGAGGTCAGCCAGAAGGTCCAACCCTAAATGTGTCACAAGACTCTTTAAGGTTTTTCCTGCAACAGATTTGACACAACTACATGGAAACAGATGCATCAGTATATCAACACATATATCATGGCAGCACTTTTTATTGAAGCAACCAAAAAAGGCACAGCAATGGAAGTTCGCAAGATCTTCTGATATTTTCAAAAGGCAAGAAATGGGAATTAAAGTCATGGAGTTATGTTTCTGAGATTCTGCAAACCCCTTCTCTCCATCATATTGCAAAAGAACAAGCAGGCAAAGACGTTTGTCTTTAGGGAAGCTTTCCCTCAGTGACTGGCTCATCTGAGTGGGATTTTTAGGTGGATTGTCACGTGTTACTGCTTTTACGGTGTTTTTAGCATTGCTTGTTTTTACCATTTCTCAGAGGGGTATTTGTTCCTTTTTAGTATTTGTATTATTATTATTTTTAGCTTTAATATTACCTTTTAAAGATGTAAGCTGCCTTTGTATACTGTTTTTAGCTTTACATATTTTTTAATTATGTAAGCTGCCTTCAGTCCTTTCTCAGGAGAAAGGCAGGTTAAAAATATTTTAAATAAATAAACCACAGGGTTTTTAATGATAAAAATATTCTTATTCCTTGATTTGCTCCCCCTCAACCTCTTGCCTGAAGAACAGATTTAAAGGTGTTGAAAGTTTAGTGCTTTTTTTGAAAAAAAAATTGTGTGTGTATACATTTAATAGTTACCTATGAAGATAAGCCGCCTAGAGTGGTCATATCGACCAGATAGGCGAGATATAAATAGAATAAATAAATAAAATAAAAATAAGAAGGAAAGGCGGGATAAAAATCAAGCAAATAAATACCCCTGAAGGTTAGATGTTGGAATTTTCCTCAAAGCAAATATTGGTACCCTGTATCAGGGCGGTACCTGTAGTGAGCATGAAAAAGACGACACAGGATGAGGCGATATCCGAAAAAAAAAAAAAGCAGGCATAGTTCTATCCAGAGGCTGGGAAAGTGACTTCGGGGGAACTACAATTCCCAGAATCCCCCCCACCGCCAGCCCTGGGTCTGCGGATGACGGCCGGGACCTCCCGTCCCG